TATATATAAATATTTATATATTTATAAATGTAATTACATTTATATGTAAATATATATAAGTACAAATTCCCCTGCCCTCCCTTTTCTCCCTCCTTCCCTCCTTCCCTCCATCTCCCAGTAAGTCAGCTCACAGGTTACTTAGGGACAACCAGGCATTTTCCTTTGCATTCTCCCAGGCCCCAGAACTGAATCGTCTTAAAAAACAGCCAGGTCCGCATATTCGGGCTTTTCCCCTCTTGGCTGTTGGGATCTTGGTTTTCGGGTGTCCCCTATAGTTCTGGTGGCTGAGCTGCCGGCTTCCCGTCCTCTTGGGGAACTTGGGCCACAGGAGGCTGCTTGGGTGGCTTTTGCGTTCATTCCTCTTGGCCTGCAGAAGCCTCTATGGGCCCGCCTGTCCTGTCTTGGGACGCGTGGCCTAGTGAAAACATCATCCCTGTCCCTGACAGAGGCTCAGCATCTGCCATGCTGTGAACACCTTCTCCCTCTCAGGGTGGCAGCCACAGCTCCCAGCAGAGCAGCTGTCTCCATGGGTCTCTCCAGCCTGCCTGGTTGTTAAGAATCACCTGGTGCACTCCGGAGTCAGCGCCTCCAGGGAGGGGCCGGGATCTGTTTCACAAGCTCCCAGGAGACTCCCCTTGGCTCACCAGGGGAAGGATGAAAGGAGGAAGAGGCCGAGGGATCTTACAGCAGACAGAACTCCGCTGGTCAGGTGTGCTCCCTCCTGCGGATAGTCCTCATCCAGAAGGAATGGGAGGGAAGTCCTTGCTGGCATGGGGGCCTGCCAGGGCCTCTGATGGTTCTGAGGACCCAAGGAGCTCTAGTCCAAATGAGATTTGTTTAATGCGCCCTTCATAGCCCAGGCTGACCTCATATGTAGCACTTCTTAAGCTTGCTGTAGCACAGGATCCCAGCCGATTAGGGAGGAGACAGGAGAAAGAGAGAGCCGGGGTCTCAGAGACCTGAGAGGATAGGGTTGAAAAAAATGTTCTTCAATAGGAATGCCTTGATTTGTTTTTAGTTATCGGTAATTTATTTTGGAATTTCTGAAATGTTAAAAGGGTGTGAGGTTTTAATGTTTCTGAAAATGGGATATAAGTGTAAAATGTTTGTGGGTTGACTGGGAAAAACTGAGAACTACTGGTCAGAGGGGCTGGGGCAGCTCTGGAAGAGCAAGGACCCCCTGAAGCTCACCAGCCCTGGCCCTGCCTCAGGCTCCACCTCCAGCCCGTCTCCCCTCACCAGTTCACTCAGCGTAATATGTCTGAGATCCACCCAAGTCGTTCCTTTTAATTTGTTTGTTCCTTTTTATTGCCAGGTAGTCGTCTATTGTATGGATACCTCACAGTTTGTTTATCCACTTATCTTTTGATAGACCTTCCGGTTGTTTCCATTATTAAGGCTGTTAGGAATACAAGCGATAATAAATGTTCTTTAATAAGTCTTTGTGTGGAAGACAAGTAGGAGTAGAATGGCAAGGTCATAAGGTAAGTGTATGTTTAACTTGATAAGAATAAACTGCCAAACTATTTTCCAGAGAAGCTGCGTCACTTTACATATACCTGCTGCCAGCAACGTAGGAAAGTCCCAGTTGCTTCACATCCTTGTCCGGCATCCTCCCATCTGGAAACCTCTCTGACTTCCTCTGGAGCCCAGAGGGCCACCAGCAAGGGGTTCTAAACTATGCCTCTGGGCACCGGTGGCAAATATAAAGGGAAAGGACAGAGTGGAGAAGAAACAAAATGATCAGCCTGACCGTACACAGATGATGCTGGAGAAAGTCTCTTTGCATCTAAGAACGTGGAGCATGCTGGTCACCCCAATCTGATGTCGACTGACAGCAGTTTACAAAGGAAATACCTGTTCCATCAAGTGCTAGCACAGGTCCAAATCCCACCTCCAAACCTACACAACAATTTTCAACCTGTAAGTTCATCTCTAGCCTCATCACACTATGACCTGATTACTCAGTGTCAAATTCCAACCTCTCACCTCCTTCTGAGGGTTCTTAGTTACTCTAGTTACTTCATACCAATCAGTAGGAGTAAATGTGGTTGGGTCAAGAAATGTTAAATGTTGAAATAATTCCACAGGCATATGAAAGCATTTGGAAATTCTATTTAAAAAGGTTATTTTAAAAAAAATCTGGATGAGGCTACTGATAGCATCTGAGGCAGTGTTATCTTAAGAAACAAAGTTTATCCATTAAAATAAGGAAAATAGCAATAGAAAGTAAGTTAAATCGGAAGCAGAAACTAACATCACCCCTGACATTTGTTTCATAAGCCTTTCTTTAGGGTCACTTTGGGAGCATGACTATTTTTATTTTAAAAAATCCCAAGATTTGAATCAGTACTGAAACACTAAATCTCTCTTTCTCTTTTAAAAAAAGATTTTAAGATTTGATTTTTAGAGAGAGAGAAAGGGAGAGGGAGAGAGAGAGAAACAATGATCCACTACCTCCTGCATGCCCCCCACCTGGGCACGTGCCCTGACAGGAAATCGACCTGGCAACCTTTCAAGGCACAGGAAACGCCCAACCAACCAAGCGGCACCGGCCAGGGCTGAAACACTAAATCTCAAAAAGACACGTTGACACAGAAGGGTGAAAACTGGACTGGATCATACTACTTTCCCCAAGTGGCTTGTAAGTACATCAGCACCCTTGTCAGAGGAAATCAGATATTTAAGAGCAAATATTTTTTTAAGTTAAAAAATGTATTTATTTTAGAGAGAGGATGAGAGAGAAACATCAATTGTTGTTCCACATATTTGTACATTCACTGGTTGATTCTTTGTATCTGACCAGGGATCAAACCTGCAACCTTGGCATAACGGGATGATGCTCTAACTAACACAGCCGTGGGCAAACTACGGCCTGTTTGAAATGAATAAAACAAACAAAAAAAAAGACCGTACCCTTTTATGTAATGATGTTTACTTTGAATTTATATTAGTTCACACAAACACTCCATCCATGCTTTTGTTCCGGCCCTCCGGTCCAGTTTAAGAACCCATTGTGGCCCTCGAGTCAAAAAGTTTGCTCACCCCTGAACTAACAGCTACCCGGACAGGGTGTAAGTCTATTTTTTAAAATATTTTTAAACTGATTTTTTTTTCCTTTTAGACAGAGAGAGGAAGGGAAGGAGAGAGAGATATATAGAAACATCAATGATGAGAGAGGAACATCATCAATCAGCTGCCTCCTGCATGCCCCCTACTGGGGATGGAGCCCGCAACTGGGCAGGAGTCCTGACCAGGAATCAAACTGGCAATGTTTTGGTGTACAGTATGATGCCCAACCAACCGAGCCACACCGGCATGGCTAGGAGCAAATCTTTAATTAAAATGCCCCTCTTCTTTGGCTGGAGGCCTCATCACATTTATTCAAATATTGCCCTCGGGTCAGTTCTCATCTTTCCCTCTTTTCACATATGACAGTGTTAAGGCAGGTGCTGCCTGACGTGATCTAGGACCCAGGTCTTGAGATGTTCTTAAAAATCCCTCCGTGATATTAAAAACTAAACAACTGCAAGAGCTTCAGAAATCACGGCTGTGTGTTAAACAAGTGCAATGCTTGGATGCTAAGGCATTCCTTTAAGGATCATTATTATAACGTTTACAGACATTATGTTCAGTAGAGTTCAGTGATGGCCTCGATTGTTCTTCACTCCCTGTAGCCACGCCTTTGCCTTGTGACTTCAAAATTCCTTTCACTCAAGAGGCAGTGTCTACTTCTCCATCCCCTTGAATCTGGGATGGCCTTGGGTCTTGCTTTGGCCAATGGGATGTGACTATAGTGAGGATGTGCCACTTCTAATCCTAGACCTCAGGACGTCCTGCTTGTTTTCCCTCCCCTCTTGCTCCTCTGCCATTGCCCGGAGAATGTGCCAGGGTTAGCGTGTTGAAGATGAGAGACCTACAGAGCACAGCCAAGTGGAGGCCTTCCTAAATCAGTGATGAGCTTCCCAGATACGCCAGCAGAACCCCAGAGCACAAGCAATAGTGCTCATTATTACATGCCTCTGGGCTTTGTGTGGTTTGCTGTTTAGCAATACCTGACTGATATCTCTATGTCAACTGAAGTTTTTAAAAGTCAAACACACAACTTAAAAATAGAAGCCACTCATTCCAGCACCAGGCAGACTGGACTTCCACCCCCTGCGTGTTCCTGAGGTCACGGTTTTTCAGCTAAACCCAGAGAGGAGACTATATCCACGTGTGCTTTCTGGTAACCAGGCACTGCTGCTATCTGCCAGGCACTATCTCTACAAACTGGAGTGGAGTCGCCACTGTAAACCCCCAGCCTCTTTGGCAATGGTTTTATGTATGAGATTAGAACCTTTTAAGCTATCTTTCCCCCTAGAAAAGAACCCAAGAGGGGAGAAAATATAGAGCAAAGTATATATCACCTAAAACCAACTTTGAATAAGCACCTATATTACTGCTTCATTAAAATTGCCCCAATTTTATCAAAATTTTAAAAATTGTCTCAGAAGATGACTTTAAAGATAGGAAAGATGAATTTTCTCAGTGCTTAGACCTCCAACCTGGCGAGGGCTATATTTTGCCTCAGGGCTATATTTTAGGGCCCTCCTACACCGAATTGTGACCCAAGGAATCGCTATGTCAACATCGTCTGGGAATTTGTTAGACATGCAGACCCCACCCCAGACACTGCTACGTTAGTCTGCAGTTGAACAAGATCCCCAGATAATACGAATGCATGTTACATTTGAGAAGCACTCTCCTGAAGCAGTGGTGGGTATCTACTCTGGCTTACACATCGCTGGAGGAGCTTGTAAACAACACCCCCAGGCTCTGCCCCCAAAGACTCCGATTCCTATTGGTCAGAAGGACTGGGCACTGGAATTGTTTAGAAGCTCTACGTGCAGCCAGGCATGAGCAGTGACTTACAAAGCTTCTAAAACTTCCAACGAGGCAGAGTTGATAAAACTCTAAAATCGGAGGTCTTCAAACTCCATGCTTCTTAACTATTGTATAATTAAATGAAAAAAACCAGTTAGCTCCTGGAGGACAGGGATCTATTTTAAAAAAATGTTTGTTTGTTTTTTTTGACATCATGTTGGTCAGTTTTAAGAGCAGCTAGGTACCTCGGGATAAGAAAAACACAACGAAAAAACGCAAAAACGATTGAGAACCTGCCCTTACATGCATCTTATTATTGGTAACCCCACCTCTGGTCCATGTTCTCATTCCCCTGGGTGGGTCACAGAGCAGCACACTAAAGTGCCCAATTTTGTGGTTATTAAGAGGGACAAAACGGCCAATAGGCCCTGCCATCGCCCGGTGTCTTCAGCTACTATAAATGCAGCTTTCAAAGCTCATCTCCTTGGGGCTTATGAGTCATTTCCTGAAGTGATGAACACACAGAGCTGGGTAGAAAAGTACTGTGCTATCTGAATTCTAAGATGTTGCTGACTCTGACCTCTGGTTTTCTCTGTCTCCAGAAGAGCAGCGGGCAGTCACCACAGTCCTCAGGGCAAGAAGCGTGGAGCCTGATGCTCACCTTATAGTGATGGCACCATGGTGGTGCACAGCAGCTGGATGGAGACCAGGCCTCACACACAGCTTTCCAACCTCGGGCCACAGCAGCCACACAGGCCCCATTGCCTTGAATCAGTCTGTTGCTGCAAGTTACTGACCCCTCAGCTGTGGGGCTGACAGAACCCAATGTGGGGGCCTGCAGCAGTGAGCCAACTGGCCACCCCTTCTGTGCTCTATAATTGTGACCAGTTTCCATGTCTTCTTGAAAGTGATGTCATTGGGAAATCTCGAATAAGAGCAGGGTTCTAAAACATTTTTAGCTCAGGTCACCTTAATATTAAAAATTATTTAAAACCCCCAAACGTTTTCATGTGTGTAGGTTATATCGAGGGGCTGTACCAGCTCATGAGAATTAAAGGAATTTTCAGGCCAACTGTTAAACCACTGGAAGCTTAAAATTGGCAATAGAGAGAGCATATATACATCATGGAAACTGGCAAATGATAAAAATTAGGGGCTTTTTTTGGAGATCAGATTTAACAGCAAACCACTGATTATATCTACCAATAGTTACCACATTAAAATAAAGAACTTGGGAAAATATTTCTTTTACTTAAAAATAACAATAAACCCATTACATGTTAACAAAAATATTTTCTGCAAAAGTATTTTCTCCCCTAAGCAATAACTTAATGAGAAGAGCTGCTCTGTTTTATATTTCTGCAAATCTCTTTAATGGCTAGCTGAATAGGAGACAGTCAGATTTTCATATCCGCTTCATTATTCAATCTGTCACACTATCAGGTATCTTGTAGCCTCTGGAAAACTCAACAGTATACTCGCGAGAGAATCAGACCGAGAAAGGACAGATAATGTCTCAGTGTTTTAATGTAGTTTTGACCTTGTATGTGTCCTGAAAGGGTCTCCAGGACTCCAAAAACCACTGCATTGGAACACTGCTCCATGCAGCTCAGACTGCAGCTTACTTAATTGCAACTCCTTCATAAAACACAATTAGGTTGATTCCTAGGCCCCATAATTTTGAAAGGAACAGCCACACAGCTATGCCAATCTGCCAGGAACTTACTGTTGGTGACTGTGTTCCCCCTTCATTTTTACTCTGACATCTAGGTGGAGATAAGCTACTAGTGGAGGGTGCAGGCCTCAGAAAATTAAAAAGCTTGGTCACACACACTGCTTAACTTTTTCCACTTGTTTCTGGAACTCAGACTTCCTGAAGGACATGCCAACATTTTTCTTAATTTCTTAAATTCAGAAGTATAACCTAAAATTTTCCACTTTATATAGTCAACAACCAAATATTCCATTTCCTTAAAAGTCCTATTTTTGACTTGGTGGGAAAAACAAAACATTTTTGTGTTAACAAAATCCAAGTGTGTGTTTTTGAATTCAAACATATTTTGAAAACTAACAATAGAAGAGTTTAAAGGTCCCTTTCTGCTTAGAGTGGGGATCCTGTTTCAGTGAAGCTGGGCGACTTCCTTCAATATATCTACTCCTGAAGCATGTGTGGGGCCCAGGCCCCAGAAACCTACGAGTGTGTGTTAACTTAAAATTTGTGTTCCCAGAACTCTTATTTAGTTGAAATAATTTTCCTGTTGACTATGAATCTAGAAATACATTATCAGAAGTTTTATTGATTTTCAACTTTCATTTTGCTTAAGGTTTCCCCTCCTTCCCTGTACCCCAGAGAGTGTTGATGGCAAAGGATCGTGACTCAAGGACATCCCTTTTGTTTCTAAGAAGGAACTGTAGACTCTATCCTCTGTCCCTGTCACCTAAGAACCTGAACATATTATCAATGATATAACCTTGAATTTTCCCAAGAAGGGATTAAAAAAAAAAGACCCAGAAACCGAACCACCCAATGCCTTTGGTAGAAATTGTGCTCCCCCACCCCCATCCCTTCTCCATGGTCCTTTATGGACTACGTCACCCAGGTTCTCTTGACCTCTGGGTTTGGGTTAAGATCAGGAGCAATAGGAGGCACCAGTGAAAAATCAGAGAATGGGGGTCAGGGTATTCCATCCTCCACCTGTGGTCCTGGGTTGGTAACAGCTTCCCCAACTGCTAGTCCCTGAGGAGCTTCACTAACCCCTGTTGGTGACTTAACCCAGTCCATACCTCTGCAAGTCACCTCTTCGTTAAACGCTCTTCAGCTAAACCTTTACACTGGCCTTCCTATCAGGGCCCTGAAAGATACCAATAAAAATTTGTTCCAAACAGGTACCAAGCAAACTTTTGTGTTTATTAATACAGGTTACACACATTTTTTTAAAAAGAGATAGCATAAAAACAGTGACATAATATTTTGCAAGTACAGACTGATAATAAAGTAGTGATGGTCATATTAAGTCAGAGGAATTTTAATATATATATACAGACTGAATAAACAATGATAGTAAATCTCCACTGAGTTAGATAAAGTGAATATAGCAACTAAATTAATAAAACCAATGTTAGCTTCTACTTACAATACACTTTAATGTAAATTATTCTATGGCATTTGGAAATAGTTTGTTCTTTTAAATAAGCATTTGTCTTGGAACTTTCCATTTTTTGATTTAAGATGCCAACATTTTTTTTTTCATATGGAAAAAAAGATACATTTCAACTTAATTTTCAAATTATTTTGTCAAATCCATGAGGATTTTCTATACTTGATACTCATTATGGGGCTAAAAAATGCTTTTAAAATAATCTCATTAACTATTAAGTGAATGGAAAATATAGAATAATTTTGCTAGACTTGAAAGTCAATTTAATTTTCTTCTGTTATTTCTAATCAGATTGACATAAATCTTTTTTAAAACCTGGTTTGAGTAATTTATTAAAAACGTTTGTAAATAAACAGTGTCCATGTATATAGACTGAAGGATTTATTTATAAAAATACACTTCCTGTACTGTATTTTGTTTTCATCTCAAGTTATGACCACTTGTAGCAGTAATCCAAAACTTTGAACAAGTAATCCAAAGGTTCAAAGTTTTTCAACTGACAGGCTGTGTGGAACTGGTTGGATGACATCTGGCTAAAAACACTTCTTTATATAACAACATACTTATTATATACACATCACACTCTATGTCTGGTCTGCTTTGTTCTTGAGGGGAGGACCTAGTCTTATTCACCTCTATTGCCCAGCGCCCATCAGAGTGCCCGGAGCACATAATGGGTGGTCATGTTTGCTGCATGGGTGTCTCCATCTGAGAATGGACCTTGCAGAGTAACTGCCGGAAGTGAACGTGCCTTCTTTCTGTTCTTAAAACGATTGGGCAGAGAAGTGTTTCATATTCATTATCTCCTGGGATAGCACATCTTATTCTGCAAATTTCTACTAAACTCGGTCATTCATAGCCAACTCCTGAGGGGACCCCAGGAGAGTGAATGTGGCGGTCCTGGATCCCTCGCTCTCTGGGAGACTCAGCTGCAGGGTCTGGAGCGACCCCGCCTAGTATGTACTGCTTGGAGCCCTCTATCTGGGGCCAACCTCAGGTCACTAGTGGGGCCTATGCTCATTCTTGGTTTATGTATACAATGTGTAAAACATCAAAAATGCTACCCAGCCCTAGACAGTTTGGCTCAGTGGATAGAGTGTCAGCCTGTGGACTGAAGGGTCCTAGGTTCGATTCTGGTGAAGGGCACATGCCCAGGGTTGCCAGCTTGATCCCCAGTAGGGAGCGTGCAGGAGGTAGCCAATCAATGATTTTCTCTCATCATTGATATTTCTCCCTTCCTCTCTGAAATCAATAAAAACATATTTTTTAAAAAAATGCTACCCATATCATGTTTCCATAATTTAAAGAATTCAAACTTTGATATGTTTAAAATGAAAAACAGAATTTTTTCTACACATAGATAGCACTGTTCTCTCTTAATAACTTAAAGCTGTTGACCAATTTCAAAATAAACTTATTTGCAAAAGCCATGTAAGTCCAAACTACAGAATCCTTCATTGTAGATGGACATCTTCAGATGCTCTGGGCTAACCTCCGCCAACCTAGACCTTGCATATTAAATCAGAGTTTATTTTCATAATCTCTTGGGGGAAAAAAGAGGGTTTCAAAGTGTCTGTTCTATACTGCATTGCAAACATGAGTACTATACATATATACACACACATATATGTAAGTCACCTAAATATATAAAAAAGTAATATTCAGTTATTATTGTAGCATTGGCAATACTGTCTTGGAATAACATTGTTTTCTATTCATGTTATCCTTTTCTGTTACTAATAAATATATACCCTTAATGGCCCTCTTAAGAAGGAGGCATGCAAATCACACATTTATTGTTTAAAAGAGTAAATACTATTTTTTTGCAGGGACTAATAGAATCCTCAGGTTCTTTGCTTTTTCAAATATTTCTTTGTAATCTTCCAGCAGCCCCTTTCCTAAGTTAGCAGCTTTTTGTATATGCTGTTATTCAGGTTAGTAGAACAGGTGTCCACTTTACTTGCCATCAGCTGACCACTGCTGCTACTGGGATCAGAACTTTCTTTGCAGCAGAAGATACTGTAGAGGTACCTCTGGCACTCAGAGGAAGCATAATAGTAAATCAAGGGATCGATGCAACAGCTTATGCTGCTGACACAGACACAGAGGAGGTAGGCAAAGTAGGCAGCCTCTGTGCTGGGATTCTGAGAGAGGAACGCGTAATGCAGAATCAGGAGGACGTTTGTGGGTCCAAAGCAAACGATGAAGATGCAGAAAACAGCCGCGGACAAGAACAAAGCCCGGGTCTTCTTGCTCTGGGTGGCGACCGTGGAAGAGCTCAGACACTGGATGATAGACACGTAACAGACCGTGGAAATGATCAACGGCACAAAAAAGAAGACAGCAGAGAAGGCCGAGAAGTAATACGCGTAAAAGCCTTCGAGCAGGGTTTCATTGAGCACGTCATGGCAGGTGGTTATGTTGAGCCCGGGCACCCGGGTGGTTTGCTCCTTGAGGAGAAGTGGCACCACCCCCGCGATGGCCATAGCCCAGATGACCATGCAGGTGAAGGACGCCCTCCCCATGGTACGCCAGGAGAGGGACTCCATGGGATACACCACGGCCAGAAACCGGTCAATGCTGATGACTGTCATGAGCATGATGGAAGCATACATGTTACAGTAAAATGCTGCGGTGACGAAGCGACACATTTCAGACCCAAATTTCCAATCACTTCCGGAAAAGTAATAGCTGATCTTAAACGGGAGAACAGACACGAAGAGCACATCTGCCGTGGCCAGGTGCAGCATGTACACCACGGCAGGCTTCTTGATCTTCATTTTCACGATGAACACAACGATGGCCATGATGTTTAGAGGAAGGCTGATTATACACACGCCAGTGTAGACGGAGGGGATAAAGAGAGTCAACCAGGCGCTGGTCAGATATCCCAAGGCATCTTTTGAGATGAACGCAGGGTGTGGTTTTTGAAGAGGCCTGCTGTGATTGATGGAGCTTAATCTGTCTTCAGTTAACCCACTTCCATTTCTGTCCTCATCGTCGTCATCCAATGGGAAAGGCTCAAATTTATCCTCGGAATTCCTGAGAAAAAATGACCGGGGAACCACAGTAGCATTTGTTGCTTTTAAATCTGAAAAATATTTTTTTAAATAAAATTTAAAAGAGAATGAATTAAAAAGGCTCAAGAGACAAATAGAGAGTGCATTTTACTGTTGCTTTTTGTTTTCTTATGAGGAGAGTGGGTGGGAAACAGCAGGTGATGCACAGGTGGATTGCAGACTTTATCAGAGAATTAGCTAACTCAAAAAACATTATGTTTTGACACAAGCGAACACTTTCAAAACTCTGCTCCTCAGGGGAACAGAGGTGAATGAGATACTTTTCAAGATCTGGCCTGAGAACCTGACATGAAGGGAAAAAGTGATTTCTATACTATAGTAGCCACCATCTACATAAACGAATCATTTCCAGGCTATATGACTTCTCCTACCTCCACATGCCTTCATGTCTACGTTTTCTCCATTTAGTTTCTCCTTGAAACCTATCCCACTCAATGGGAAATTACATCAAACATTGAGGAGACTTCTTTTTTTTTTTTTTAAAAAAATATATTTTATTGATTTTTTTTACAGAGAGGAAGGGAGAGGGATAGAGAGTTAGAAACATCGTTCAGCTGCCTCCTGCACGCCCCCCACTGGGGATGTGCCCACAACCAAGGTACATGCCCTTGATCAGAATCGAACCTGGGACCCTTCAGTCCGCAGGCTGACGCTCTATCTCCACTGAGCCAAACCAGTAAGGGCAAGGAGACTTCTTAAAGGTTATGGAGTGACAGGCAAATTCAGTGTAGGACCAAGGGCTCCAATTGCCATGACCATTATCCATGTGACTGTAGTTTTCCTCTACTATCTTTAGCTTGTTTACACAACAGAACGTCCCAAATCTTTCATCCGATCTGGGCCCAAACCACTGTCACTCGGGTTATCTTCTAACCACAAGGAACCCCAGTTATCTCCTTGTCTCCTTCCTCAGTAGGTCAGTGGAGTAACAGATGGTCCAGACAGATGGCCTTCCTTGGCTTAGTTCCAGAATGCTACATGCATTGTGGCAGATGCCAGGCCAGCCGGGCTCTTTGAGTATCAGCCAGAAGTCAAAATAAAGGCTCAGTTGCATGCTTCCTCCTTTTATAACTTTCTTCCACCAAAATCATCCATTTTAAATGTTCATCAAAGAAATGCAACACTTAGCTGCTGGCATTCAACCAGCTTTTCTTTTCAAGAAGCTTTGCTAAAATTCTGCCATTAAGGAGAGTCAGACAGAGAGCCTTTGTTGGTCTTGGGAAGCTGAGGAGTGGGGAGAGATACCTAGAGGGAAAAGGGCAGGGTCTCTGACATTGGCAGTGTTCACAACAAAGACTGGCCTTGCAGGTCACCTATTACTGATGTTAGAAAATTTAAAAACTGGCTTGAAATGGGATAAATATAGTGGATTTTCAAACTTTTGGTTTTGTTTTTCAGGGTGGAACCTTCCTGCAGACAGAAACTTACACAAAGGCATAATGCTATAAAAGATAGTTCTGGCCCGGCCGGTGTGCCTCAGTGGTTGAGCGTCGACCTATGAACCAGGAGGTCACAGTTTAATTCCCGGTCAGGTTACAAGACCAGGTTGTGGGCTTGATCCCCAGTAGGGGGCATGCAGGAGGCAGCCAATCAATGATTCTCACTCATCATTGATGTTTCTAGCTCTCTCTCTTTCTTTCCCTTCCTCTCTGAAAAAAAAAAAGAAAAAGATAGTTCTGCTTCTGCTATGGGTCTGTGAGGTCCTACCAGGCTCAACCATCCCTTAGAATAAAATTACAAACCCCTTCCTCCCTGAAATCAATGACCTAAAGGCATTGAGATTCCCAGGGTGGTGTTGGGAGGGGAGGAATGAATGATATTGAAAGGATGACACCACTGGGTTTCTTGTTTTTACTGGTGTTTAGCTTGAGAGAAGGTCAAAGTCAGTGACATAAAGGATGGCTAAGACGCAGATAGGAAGCCCACAGTCCTTCTACCCTGATGAACCAAAGGACAGAGTTCAGGGCAACCATGGGAACTGAAAAGTGAGATGAGATTCCCAGAGAGGGGCAGCCCTAAATCCCAATGTAATTTCTGCCTCAGGCTTTGGATGACTCTTGAATGAACCATGCATGTGTTGGAAAGATAAGACAACTTAGGTGCTATTAGAGCTTTTTGTTCATGAGGAAGCCTGGCAGTAAGGGGCTGAGGTCAAACTACCTCAGCAAGGTCATGAGTGGGCCCCTGAGGGTGAAGGGGTAGCGTTGTAGGAGATCTGTCACTGGGAAAGGACAAATGTCTCTAGTGATGAGCCTCTGAGTACACGTATGTCTAGATTAATCCTCAAGAGTAAGAAACTGGTCCTATTCATCTCTGAATCTCCAGCACCGGGTACATGGTAAGTGTTCCTTAAGTTGGTTTTAATTACAGATTTGCATTCTCATGTTGGCTCTTTCAGGAGTCACTTGCCCCTTCTGAACTCAGTCTCAGAACCATTAAATGATTCTCATACCTGTCTGGTCTACAAATATGAAACAGGACATGCATTCACTTTGCAAACTATAAAAATTAATCAGTGTAGGAAATTATTATCTTGCCCCACTCACTTCAATGTAGCTTGCTTTTAGACTCGCTCTCAATTATTTTAAATTAAAATGGAATCTAGGTTGCTCTTCTCTCCTATTTAGCAATGCTTAGTTTTTTTCCGTATGATAAGGGACATGGACAGGTTGTAAAGTGTGTAGTCCCAGCGTTCAGAGCTGCAAATCAAATTTCAAATTCACAGCCTTTTCTAGAAGTATCACTTTCTTCCCTCTGTGATGCACCTAACTTATTCTGTGTGCATCCTGACCCAGTCACATGGAGGTCTGACACTGGTACTGACAGCCCCGGGAACGGGAGGCTACCCTCAAGGTCAAAACAAATGTGTGGGAGCTGAAAGAAAAGAAAGAATGGGTGCTGGCATTTTAGTACCACTAAGATATGTGTCCTTAAAAATGCTGACCCAGAGGAACTGTAAAATAACACAGATCTCTGCAGTTTTGGGAACCTGGCCAGATTAAGGACTTTTGTCATGTGTGCAGGGTAAAAAAGTGCATGCATGTGCGCACACACACACACACACACACACACGAATCAAGACACTACCTAGAGGAGTGATAAATTTGAAAACTAGTAGATACTCATAACTAAGCTTCTTGGATACTATCACTTGATCTGAAAATAAAACTATTAGTATTTACTCTATATTTAGTACTTTGGCAATAAGTATTTGTTTTAAAACACTCCTCCCCTGGCTAGGCCATCTTGGGCTCTATGGTGTTTATGACAAAATCACTAATACCCACTGAAACATGAAATTGCTGGGCTGGAGCCCATTCAGATGCAGAATCTGTCGATTAAATATTACTGCCCAAGATGTCACCTTTTCTTGACATTATAGGTTTGATATTCTGAAGGCTTTTGTAGAATTAAAGAATGTCAGCGAACTTTTTTGCTTGTTTAAGTGTGTACCAGCATAAAAAAAAAAAAGCCAGCTCTCCCTCCCTGCCTTCTCCCCCGACAGGGTGTTACCTTTTCCTTTCTCTTCCTAAGCTCCCAGGGCCCTACTTTTGCTTCAGTAACTTGATTCCTAAGCCCATACCCAACTGGCTCACTTTCCCTACCTCTGTGACTTTCCAAATAAACTTTTTCTTTAAAAAAACAAAAGAAGAACAAAACCAATTCCAGGTGACTAGATAGATCCAGCCAGCTCACGGCCCTTAGGCTGAAATTGAGGTTTGGGTATCTCGCTTTTCCTCCGGTCCCAGCACAGCTAACAGGTCAGGAAGAAAGTGCCTGTCAGCACGCCAGAAGCGCTTGTAACTCATTGGTGCTTTTCTTGTTAAGTTATGGTTTCACACAAAAAGCAGCCACGTCCTAAAACCAATTCTCACACTTCTTGCTAAACTGCACTTCATTTAGCTTTCTCTAAATGACTCTAGAGTCGTTTTGTTATTGAATGTAGCATATTGCTAAATAGCTTAAAGATGGTCTCTCTAGCTCCGGAGATTTGAAAACATCAGCAAACCAGGCAATGCTTTTTCTGACTTGGATCTGGCCTCGCAGCAGAGTGGTAACGAGATGCTCTTTCAGGGTCCCATGGATTCACGCCAGGCCAGCCTCCAGGGACACGCCAGCCTCGGTTCTGACGCAGAGCTCTGCCAGGAGGGCTTTTTGGGAATTAACAAAGCAGAAGTTCCAGAACCTTGCCCACACAGAGCAGGACAGCTGTACCCTGCGCTTTTCCACAAGTGAATCAACACTACAAGCTAAATAGAAACAAAACAGAGGATGATGGAAAAAATGAAAAGCAGCTCCATTGGGGGAAGGTCCCTGCACACATGACAGAGTCCTGAATCTGGCTAGATTCCCACTATAGCTCCATTGAGGGAAAACAGTGGTGTTACTGGAATGCCACACAGCCTCAACTGCAACACACGCCATTTTCCAATGAGAAGGACCAGTGCTCCTTAAAGAAATGGTTGGTCCCAGATCTGGAGTAGGAAATATACAAGATGAGCCTTGAGCATCCTCAACAAATATTAGGATCAGGTCAGAAAGACTCTGGAGTCAATCTGACTGGACTCTCACTGGCCAAGGTACGACAATCAACCATCAAAAGAATAATGGCGGAAACCCATCGAAACAATTGAAACATGACAAATACATTGCGATCCATGCGTTCATAACGATACTCAAAGGAAAATAAAGCCCTTTTGGTCACCTTTGGGGAAATTCGAGGACCAGGCCTGAAAACTGGTAAATAAGACCAGTTTCAAGCTTTTATCCTGCCTTTTCTATCTAAACAATATTTCAGGGAAACCAAATAGTCAGTAAAAGTTCTTCTTTATAAAATAATTCTAGTTCATAAACACAGATGCCATAACAGATTTAGAAAAGCCTAATTTTGAAGCTCTTAGTGTAATAATGAATTTAGCTCAGTGATCACCAGTGCTTGCTAAAACTGTTAGGTGGAAGGGTGAAAAACTTTTGGCTGGATCAAGCTGACAATACTGAATCCACTGGGCAA